AAAAAAAGGCAACAAATCTCCACTATCAAACCTTTGCATTAATTTTCGCGCATTGATTTACCCCCTGCCGGCGTGACATGCCTGTCACACGGGGAAAATAAGCTTCACCAGGTAACCGAGAAAACATAAGAACCATCTGAGCGGACAACATTACAAAATCTATGACATTGGAAGGTAGCAATGGAATGTCTCCCACTCGTGCACGTATTTACTGACAACCACCGCTACACGTGAACAGAGCTTGACTGAGGGTAACGTTATACCGGCATGACATTTTGGTTTTGTAGTATTTTGCGCTCTTACGCGCTTCCTAGTAGAAAATTGTCCAAGAAATAAGCGAAATCCGAAAAGAAAAAAAGTCAGGAAGGAATTTTTTAGCACATAAAATGTCTCTTTGGCTTTATGCCCGGTAACCGAACAATTTCACATAATTTTCACTAAAAGGCACGTACAAGATGATAATTACGGATATGTAATTTCAACAATGTTAAGTCAAAATCTATATGCTTATGTCGTAAACCACAACAAATGGGACTGCTGTTACCAGTCTTAATTCATGAGAAACAACTGATAACTTCCTCTAAATTCATATTGTTGATCCTTGCTTGTTTTGGTGATGATCACTGGTTATCTCTATCGAATTAACGTGGGATTAAAGTGTTTTGAATTTGTTTAAGTAAGCACGGGCAATGATGGAAGCTGTGCAGTTTAAATGCAGTCTACAATCTCACACTGTGACTTTACCACTGTAATTCAAAATTTTGCACCAACGGAAATCAGTTTGGGCGTGGCTCATGTTCTTTTGCGACCACGAACAGATACATTTTTTATAACAAATGAGGAGGTTCACGTGACCTAACAGTGATGTTACAAGCCGTCAGTCTCTCAACCTTTTTAACCTTTGAAATCGACTTCAACAAAAATACAAAGACGATGACGGTGGTTTTAATACCTAACCAGAGGACGAGCATTCTTATCATCACTCGTTGAAAAAGGAACAACGGATTTGATGAATCGTGTTTTTCCCACTACCCTCTTTCCTGAGAAAGCTCCGTTATGGTTGAGAGAATTAAGAATTTATTGTTTGGAAGTAAACAGTTATAGACTAGAGAAGTTATTTATATACTAAAAGTTATTGAAACTCTAGTAGTTATTACGTCTTCCTAAAGAATATGTGGACAAAGTATGTTTTTCTTTTTTCTATTTTTTAAAATGTCCTTTTATATTCATTGATGCTGAGGAAAGGCCAATGTCGACGCGAAAAAAATGGAATATTAGTAATTTTTAGAACCCGCATCATCCACAAACTGACTGCTTCTTGTCTCCAACTCAGTTTTCATTTGACTTTCAAATTTTTGGTTTTACGAACTAATCGCCAATTTTTCCCTTCTTTTTTTGTTATATATTAAATCATTTTACAATAATTCAAAGTAGACGCTCCCATGCAGATTTTTCCATTCTGAGGTCCGAAGATCCTACCAATAAATCTTGATGTGTTTCTCTGAGCATTTGGACATTTTAACAAGTTGATTGTTTTTTATTCTCGTCAGCAGTTTACGCAATATTGTAGTAATATTTATAGAGAGAAAATTAATTTTCATCAGTTTTACAGAAGTGCTATGTTTCCTCTGTTGTGAAACCACTAAGAAAGTTCATTGTAGAGTTCATTTTTCGGTGATATCACAGAACCTAAAGAAACAAGACGGATCAAATAACAAACTATACGTTCCAGTGATAAATAGTGAAGAATAAATATTGCATTAGAGCACAAAGCAAACACGTCTTCATCAACAGAGTCGACATATGTACCGGAAATTAATTTATTTTGCGATACACAGAAAAAAAAATGCTCACCGTCTTTAAATTAACAATTTTACCGCAAGGGGGGTAAAATAATTGACTCTTAAGGGTTAAGGAGAAAGTTACAAAGCTATTACATTAAGTACCTGAATATTGATTGTCCCTTTACACTTTCAGAGCCTGATCGCATTTATCCACATAAGTAGCAGAGAATAAATACACAGAGAAGTAAAGGTTTTTACAGCTGCTGTTAAGCGTTGTTTCAAATAAATTCAGAGTTAAGACAATAATTTTAATCGCGTGATGCGTTTAAGTCACGCGTACAACAATTAGCTGAAAAACGTAACCTATGGTGTTCATAAGGAAATTAATACTGAAAAAGTCTTTATTCTTGGCTAGCTAGAACAATTAAAAAATGAAAAAGGAAACAAATTTCCGCTATCAAACCTTTGCATTTTTTTGCGAAGAAGAAGAAATAAGCGATGTAGGCACAGTTAACCCATGCTGGCAGAATGCCCCTTAGCAATTATGTATATATCTTTACGCACAGGCGTCCCGAGCTCGCGTCATGAGAAAAAGCAAGCGATTGATTCATGCGTTGTGTGACTCAGTGTTAAGTTACGAGAGGAAACGTTGAGAATTTAACTCGTTCGCGTCTGAAGCTTTTATAGTAATTGGCGATGTTTACCTTGCTTTATTCGCCATGAAATCCTTATAAATTTTTTTGCACGAAAAAAAATTTTTTTTTTTACTAAAGATAAAAAAAAGATATTTCACTTTTCTATGTGTTCAACTTCTAATAAGTTGTACTGGATTGAAGACCAA